GCCAAAATCGAACTTTTTTTATCCTCAAGGATCCAAACCGACTTTTTCTGATAGATATGGGGATTTAAATTTTTTAAAGAATTATGGTTTTTTCTATGGCAGAACTTTTTTTTGAAGAATTTTTGAAGTCTGGTATTTTTTTTAAAGCTTTTTTCAGAGGTACGCTTTTTTCACATAGCTCTAGTATCTTACGTCTGGTTGTAAAGAACTTTGCTATTTTGAAAAGATAATTAAAACAGCTAGAAGTTAAGCCTAAACACTTTGTGATTACAGCTTACCGTCTGGGAAATATAAAGCATTGAAATGCAAAAATGATGATTTTTGTGCGGTATTTTTTACGAAATTTTGACTTTAAAAACTCAGGAAAAGTCGAAAAAAACTTATATCCTGTGTCCTCTATTTTTTTGTTTATAGGTGCATTAATTTGGCGTCGTTTAAGGTATCGCTCATTAAAATCTATGGAGAGACTTTGGAGCTAAAATTCGTTAACCAAACTTAAAATATGGAAAAAAAATGAACAAAAAATACCTTTTGGAAGGTTGCGGGCCCAACTGCCAATTGGGAACAAAGCAAACGAAAAAAGGTTGTATATTTGGTACCTGATCGCGATCCCGATTCCCAATGGGCAGTTGAGCTCGCAACCTTCCAAAAGGTATTTTTTGTTCATTTTTTCCATATTTTAGGTTTGGTTAACGATTTTAGCTTAAGTCTCTCCATGATTTTAATGAGCGATACTTAAACGACGCCAATAATGCACCTAAAACAAAAAAATAGACACAGGATATACGTTTTTTCGACTTTTCCTGAGTTTTTAAAGTCAAAATTTCGTAAAAAATACCGCACAAAATCATCATTTTTGCATTTCAATGCTTTATATTTCCCAGACGAACTGTAATCACAAAGTGTTTAGGCTTAACTCTAGCTGTTTTAATTATCTTTTCAAAATAGCAAAGTCTTTACAACCAGACGTAAGATACTAGAGCTATGTGAAAAAACAAGCGCTACCTCTGAAAAAAGCTTAAAAAAAAATACCTGTTTTCAAAAATTCTTCAAAAAAAAGTTCTGCCATAGAAAAAAAAAAAATAACATCAAACCATTTCTAAGCCCCAAATCTTTAAGAAAAAGTTCGTTTTGTTCCTTCAGGAAAAATCGTGTTGACTAGTGTTATGAGAAATACGTTGTACGAAAAGAAATTAAATAATATTTCCAAGAAAAAAAGAAAAACAACCGCCTGTGTACTGACATATTACAGCAAGTACTGCAGCAAATCCAAAATCCCCCTCCCCCGCAAAAAAATTAAAACAAAACAAGACGCCAGCGCGCTGGTGCAAAGTCCATCCAAGCGTATAAGAAGCTCAAGTTTTGTGACTAGCAACGCAGAGGCTGTCAAGTACAGGCAAGTCAAGTATATACAAGGGCGTACCTAGGTTTTTAGCGAAGGGGGGCCCCCTTTTTGTGCCCCGTAAATATGTTCGCTGGGAGTCATTTATTGTATTGACTCGGAAAATCACATTAAACAGCAAAAATGTTCAATGTAAATTAAATTACAATTTTGTTTCATACTAAGAAGTATACCGAAGGGGTTAGTCGCTTCCCCCCTGGGTACGCCCTTGCATATGCATATATTGTATACATAAATACGCGTATAAGAAGAGAAAAATATGCCCACAAAGAAATGAAGGATAGACAGTGGAACAAAAATGTATTTGAGGTTTGTTATTTATTTGATATTTGGAATGAAAAAGTTGAGAGAATGTTATAAAAGGGAGTATTTAGTATAAATTATTGAAAGAGTAGTAATATATAGTAGCATGATTAATTATAATAATAAATAATAATATGAAATCTATTTTTTTTTTTACTTATAATGTATGACAGTATTGATTCTCTGATCTCTTTAGCCTCATTTTTTTACCTATTATTTTTTTTGAAAAGTCTTTGCTTGTGCTAACTGATGTCTCGCTTTCAAAAGTATACAAATAGTCTTGAATATTTTCTACATCAATAATAATGTTATGCAGAAGGCACTTTGCTTTTATTAATATTATGGCCGTTTTAGGAACAAAATCTATTTCTCTTTTCATCAAGCGCCACTTTTCCGTTAAAATGCCAAATTCGATACAACGGCGGGCAGAAGAAGGTCTTTCATTAAAAACTGATATTGATTCAGTTGAACGTCTTGGGTAGGGCCTCATGAGGTATTTGGTCAATGGATATGCTTAATCTCCAATAAAAACGAGAAGGAACGTGTGAGTCGCTTCTGGGGACGCGACTCTACTTATACCCGTACTCAGGCAGTATATACATTTTTGACCATATGATTTTTAAGAATTTTAGAATTAAATAAAAAATTTTACATTTACATTTTTTTTGCTACATCTGTTATCTACATCTGCATATACAATGTATATTATACATCTCCTCCTCTAGGGGTTGCTCTCGCACTGAACGTGGCAGAGTGCGCAAGCGAGAAAGAGATAGGTAGTGGGTCTCTGGCTGAAGTAGGCGGGGGAAGCAACTGAAAAGTTCTGCATTCTGGCTATAATTATGATCCGATCTGATTTAGATTCGGCAATCTGGTAGATATGGGCATTCTCTACGATACTGCGTTTTTAGTTTTATCGCATCTTTAAAATTGTGCCTGCCACAGATTTTCGTCCTTTGTGGGGGCGGGGCGATGTTTTGAAATACACTTGTAGCAGTGTGATATCACGTGAGTCTGGACATCAATTTTTGGTTTCTCTAGCTCTTATTGTCTCTGAGATCCAGGCGCTCATCAAGACGGATGGACGGACAGACGGGCATGGCTATATCGACTCGGCTATTGATGCTGAACAAGAATATATATACTTTATGGGGTCGGAAACGTTTCCTTCTCTGCGTTGCACACACCCACTTTTACGACAAATCTTATATACCCCTTAACTCTTTTTTGACTACGGGTATAAAAAGGAGCTTTAATATCTGACTTTGGCAATAATTCTTCCGAAGGAATGTCCAACTCATTTTGAATGATTGCCTTTTGAAGTCTTGATGCAGCAAATATTCCTCCATTACTTTGAATACCTTTAAATCCCAACTCAATAAAAATAAATTTAGAATTGGAGTCAGCAACGCCTTGAAGAACAATTGAAAACAATTTTGTATAATTAAAAAAAATCGAGCCAGTACTTTTTGGACATTTTATTCGGCAATGTTTGCCATCAATGGCCCAATACAATTAGGGAAACTGGACTTTTCGAAAAAGTCGTGCGCAATTTTTTTTTACTCCGTGCAGTTTGGTGGCATCATATGAGTCATGTGTAACTCTTCCCAAATAGCCGAGCAAGTTTCCGGGATTATTTTCCGCAAAGTGCTTTCGGCAATTCGAAAGCGAAATGAAGGAGCTCTCATGGAAATGCCAGTCGACAAATATCTGAAACATTTAAATTTTTTTATTTTTAGATGAGCATTGCAAGAAAAACCTCAAATATTTAAAAGACGAATTTGCAAGGCTAAGCGAAATGTGCCAAAAAAAAAAGCATCAGGAGCAGCACCAGCGGAGCCCCACATAACGAAATTTAAATTTTTTAAAAATTGATATGGTATCAAAAGCTTCTGATTTAAAATTAGGACATTTTTCGAGCATTTTGACAATGCTGCCAGTAAAGCTATTAGGGCCTGTGGTGATTCCGTCCACAGTAATAAATAAAGGGCGAAGTGGTAATTCATTCGCATGCAACAAGCACACAAGCCACTAGCCACTGCAAGGGTCGATTGAGATGTTTTTCCAATAAGGAAATGACTCCATTTTTATGTCCAGTGTTCACTGCAGTTCCATCACATCCAATTGCCACAAGAGTTTTCCAATTGTGGCTGCTTTTCCCGAATCAATAGAAAGATGTCCGATGTATTCTGAGCCCGGCTGAGATATTAATGATATATGTTCTTCAGTGATGGTTTTTCGAGAAGAAATATTTTCATAACAGGCCATAAATAAAGTTTTGTCTTTACGACCGTCAAAATAAATAGCCATCATAGGGTTTATCTCGTTGAACACACTACAAATATTTGCGAACTTTTTCGCGCTTTATGTTACTTAGGTCTATTACATTTTATTATACCCGTACTCAAAAAAGAGTTAAGGGGTATATTGTATTTGTGGTAAGAGTGGATGTGTGCAACGCAGAGAAGGAAACGTTTCCGACCCCATAAAGTATATATATTCTTGATCAGCATCAATATCCGAGTCGATATAGCACAATTTTAAAGATACGATAAAACTAAAAACGCAGTATCGTAGAGAATGCCCATATCTACCAGATTGCCGAATCTGAATTCAGATTTGGCAATTTGGTAGATATGGGCATTCTCTACGATACTGCGTTTTTAGTTTTATCGTATCTTTAAAATTGTGCCTGCCACAGATTTTCGTCCTTTGTGGGGGCGGAAGGAGGCGGGGCGAAATTTTGATATACACTTGTAGCAGTGTGATATCACATGAGTCTGGAAACCAAATTTGGTTACCCTAACTCTTATAGTCTCTGAGATCCAGGCGCTCAACAAGACGGACGGACGGACGGACGGACAGACAGACATGGCTATATCGACTCGGCTATTGATGCTGATCAAGAATATATATACTTTATGGGGTCGGAAAATTTTCCTTCTCTGCGTTACACACATCCACTTTTACCACAAATCTAATATACCCCTTAACTCTTTTTTGAGTACGGGTATAATTATGTTTGAAAAAAAAATATTTTGGCATATGACATTTCAAACCATCTTCATGCGGAACCTCAAGATGAAGTGATAGAACTTTAATTTTTATTTAACATTTTTTATTTTTATGAGGTCATCAATTAACAATCCAGGAGTTAAGAAAAGAAAAAAATTATTTTTTAAATGACGACACTTATGCCCCCCCGGCGGCCCCCGGCCCCCCCCCCCCCCCCCGGCGGCGACCCGGGCCACCTACTTCAACCTATCTAACTAACTTTTATTTACTCTCTTTACAGGATGAAAAGAATCAATTGCTTATAACAAATATTTGGCTTAAATTGGTAAGTTGTCTGGTTTGTTAGATTAAATTCACAGTGGAAAAAATACATTGTATTTTATATTATACTAGGGAGCAAGCCCCCTGCTCACTAGTGTAATGGATAACGATTAGTAGGAAAGATGTTTAACTCAGATATTGACCAGCACGCTATTATTTCGGCTACTGTCTCGTCGGCAAAAGGGTGGTATTCGTTTCTTGTCAATTCTGAGAGCTACGGCGTCTCTATATGGGCAGTTCCTATCTGGCGTTACTTTACATTCGTACGACAAAATGTTGAAAAAAATAGTCAAAAATCTGAAATTTGGGAAAAAGATTATCCTCGTTGAATAAACTTTAGTTAGACCTATATTCACTAAAAAAAAATGGAAATAATCGAGCGTACGGTTTTAAAGATATAAGCCAAGGTATGACCTAAAAGTGCGTTACATAAAACAGAAGTGGTTTTCGAGGTTTGGGTACAAAATGGAAAAACTCTGCGAATTGGATAGGGCTATCTGTTTAACATTTTTTGTGCTAATAAATGAAGTATTGAGAGTTAATTTTCAAACTTATTAAATGTAAAAACTTTTCCTCTTTTTTTGTTAAAAGTCCGCGGAGGCATCTGGCGAACGTTACTGGCGTGACGTTACCAAATTCCGCGATTGTAAAAGCCTAAAAATATACTGTTAGCCGAGGTTGGACAAACACTCTGATAATGGTTTTAGGTAGTTTAATATGTTAGAAAGACTTTAAGGAGAAACTTTTATCAAGAATCATCTTCTTCCTAGGAGATAATAGTAAAAGAAAACATGTCTATAAAAATACCAGAAAATACCAAAAACGTGAACTTTTGCTTATTTTCATAGCTTTTAGGATGAAAGTTAATGAAATTATATGTCAATTAAGTAAATTATTTACCTTTCAATAAATTTAGAAAAAATTATCCGGAAAAAATTATATGGAAATCGGTTTTTATTGACTTTTTATGATTTTTGGCCTGGTGGACCTTTTGGCGGAACTTTTACATCAACAAAAGTTAAAAAAGTCATAACATTACTCCTCATTCAGCGATTTTCAAAAATTGAACTGTTTTGCAAAGCTTTCAGCTACATATTAAGAAAAAAATATCTAGGTTTAAAATCGCCCGATAAGGAGTAAAGTTATGACTGAAATTTTGAAATTTTTGGAAAAAAATCAAAAATAATTTTAGTACCTGTAACTTAAAAACGCGATCTGATGGAAAAAAAATAGAGATCATATTTGAAATCAGCGACCCCAAATTAGTAAAAAACTTCAATCAGTTTTCAATCAACATATGGCTCAGTAATAGTTATTTAATTAAAAAAAAATTAACAACATTTTTTTTTCATCAAGTTTGTTGGCTGGGATTGGCAATTGGCAATTGTGCTTTTATTAGCTTTATGTTAAATCATATTAAAGTAGCTTCCTACGTACATTTAATCTCTAAACAAAATATTTATAATTTAAGAAAATCTTATAAAAGAAAAATTTTTGATTAGTTACAAGTACATTATAATACTTATAACTTTCTTTTTGGACTACCGATTTGAATGAAATAAATTTTATCTCATTTAAAATATGTTTACCTAAATGATTTTAGATCAAAACTTTTACTTTTGTGGCTATTTTTTTTTATTCATTTTTATACAAGAAAATATTTTTCTTTTCGGTAATTTTTTGTTTTTTTTTTTCAATACTGTAACGAATGTGTTGGGCAAATTCAAAACCAATGAAGGCACGGCTTAAAGACAGTATTGTTGTCGGGTTTTGGATTTTTTTTAATCTGAATACGGTTAACGGTTTTCAAGTTAGTCAACTATACATATGTAAGGGAAGTGCCTTTATTTTGGATATAACGGTAACTCGATCTGATAGGAAAAAACCAAGTACAGGGTTGGATTCAGCGTCCCCGATTACCTTAGAAACAACATTTAGTTCTTAATCAACAAAACCCTTGTTCCCATGTGTAATTAAAGAGCGTGTGAAAAGAATTAAAGCCATAAACAAGTACATTTACAGAACCGGAGAGAAAACAACACTTTTGGCCAATATAATTCACTTATACCCACACGCAACACAAACGAACAAGCCCACCCTCGGTCATAAATTGCCAGTGCTATTAAATCACTATGACCCCTTTCTCAAGGCCGCTAACTACAGGGGCTACCAGGGGGGGGTATCATTATAAAATTTTTGTATTATTAGTTAAAATGACATCTAAGTAAATACTAAACGCTTAACTCTTAACATTTAAAAACTTCAATAATTCCCCTAGAAATATTAAATATATGTACCAATTTACAAGTTTCAATTTACTTCCCCTTCTTCGAATTTCTCTTTTTTTTTTATATTGCTGCGCTACAGCTGATCGCTCTCTCCTAAATTTGAGCTCAGAGCTCTTGGCTCGCTCCCCTTTGTGGTCATTGAAGTTTTAAATGAAATAATATTCCCATCGCAAAATTAAAACGTTTATTCACTCTGCTCCGGTCCTTCGGCGAAAGCGCTTTCACGATGCCTGCTGTAGATTTTGAGCGTTATGCAATTATGTTTAACGCCCACGCTACTCGCGCTAATTTTCCTCCACGTAAACACCTTTCTCGGGATCACTCGCTTTCCTTTTAATCAGTATTTAAATAAAAAATTCTTTTTTTTTCCCCGACGAAACCACGATATTATCTGAGCTACGCTCTCTGATGCTTAACTCCGACTATCTGTCTGTTCTTTGCCCTTCTGGTCAATGTCGAATTTCGATCTCGCCTCGCACTCTGTGCGTTCCCATTGTTTTTCATTCCCCGCCGCTTTATATTTCCCACATTTATGATGCATTGGGGTTCGGTCAACGCTTTGGCGCTGCTTTTTGCGTGAGTTTATGAGTATATGTCTGTGAGTATATATACATATGTCTGTTTTCGAGGTTAAGCACTAAAACGCAGCCCACTGTACAGGGCACAAATGAAAAGAACGATCGCCATTCTGCCTTGACTCTCGAAGCCTACTTTCCATTTTCGACCATAGTCCTGTCAACTTTCCTTCTCCTTCACCCCAAATGTGCACCTTGCCCAGTAGATGGCGTTGCTTGCCCCTTCTGCGCTGTTAAAGCGCATAGTTTAAAGGAACTTCAGCTTACTTTAATAAAACCTAAGGAGGAACCTTACACTCGTTTCGCTCGTTCGACAACCCCCAAGTTTTGTATATTCTTTTATATATATTTATTAAAAGGTTATTTTTCTTTTGTATTATGTACATACTTGCAAATGTATTTGATAGATTTCACTGAACTGCAGAACTCAACATTAATGTGGCGCATAGGAGAATATAGTTCTACCCATCGATTGTCAATGTGAATGTTTGCGTTGTTGATTTTTGTTATAAATGATTGTCTACCATTATCAATATTTCTTTTTCGATATATTGGATATCCATCGACGTTTGTGATCGTCTCACTGCACAAGGGGCAGACTCCCGTTTTTTTGGCATAAAGTCGTAAATTGTTGTAAAATCTATTTTGAATTTAACTTAATATTTTGAGAGGGCACACATTGGGTACATCCAAATAATAAACAAAAACTTTTTAGTGGTAACGGTGCATTTTTGCAGTGTCAGATGTCAAAATTGGCACGGAAGATTTCACTCAACTTTGCACTTCTGTTGTAAAAACACCAGGTATCCAAATCTTTGTTAAAAAAATGCAAAATGACCCTTAGTCAAGGAGTTGCCGAATATAATTATTATTCGATTTCGAATTATGCGTTCAATGTTGTAGTTGTGGATTGTCTTGGTTATGTCTTATTTAAGAAAAAATCTAAGCAAAGTGTTTTTGTATTGTGGACTAAAAAACTATTTTCTGCCAATTTGTGCCAAAAAGTAATAACGCAAATGTATACTCTTAACTGTGATTTTAAACTTGGTATTACTACTTTTTACCCAATTTTGCCCATTCTCTTCATATTTTACATTTTAAACCAAGTTTGAAGTTAGCCATTCTGTACTACTGGATGTGTGCAAAACAATGGAAAACAAAATGAAACGAGAAGGAACGTGTGAGTCGCTTCTGGGGACGCGACTCTACTTATACCCGTACTCAGTCAGTATATACATTTTTGAGCTTATGATTTTTTAGAATTTTAGAATTAAAAAATAAAATTTTACATATTACATTTTTTTGCTACAGCTCTTATCTACATCTACAATGTATATTTTACATCTAACATGTAGATTATAGATGTAACATATTCTACATCTCCTCCGCTAGGGGTTGTTCGCGCACTGAACGCGGCAGAGTGTGCGAGCGAGAAAGAGAATCAGTACCGTGTTTCATGCATGGGGAGACGGGGGAAGCAACTGAAAATGAATTTCTTCATTCTGGCTATAATTATGATCCGATCTGATTCAGATTCGGCAGTCTAGTAGATATGGGCATTCTCTACGATACTGCGTTTTCAGTTCTATCGTATCTTTAAAATTGTGCCTGCAACAGATTTTCGTCCTTTGCGGGGGCGGAAGGGGGCTGGGCGAAATTCTGAAATACACTTGTAGCAGTGTGATATCACAAGAGTCTGGAAACCAAATTTGGTTTCTCTAGCTCTTATAGTCTCTGAGATCTAGGCGCTCATCGAGACGGACAGACAGACAGACAGACAAGACAGACTTAACTCTTTTTTGAGTACGGGTATAAAGAAATCGAAAATAATATCAAAGCTGCTCATAAATTGGGGCTTAATATTAGAGCAATTGTATGTGACCAAGGCTCAAATAACCGGAAAACACAAATTTCATAATTTTTTGGTGTATTTTTTTTTCGAAATTTTGACTTTAAAAACTCGGGAAAAGCCGAAAGAAAAATAATTCTTGGCCATTTTTAGTTTTGGATAGATGCATTACGGTATTGTTCATTAAAATCTATGGATAAACGGTGGAGCTAAAATTCGTTAACCAAACCTCAAAAGTGAAAAAATAGACCAAAAATACTTTTTACCAAAAAATCAACCCCATTTCGTTTGC